TGACAAACTCTCACTGACTTGTTAGGAAAAATAATTCTGATTTAAATTGTCATTTGAATTAACATAGTTAAAAAAATTCAAAATATGCCATTAGTATTTCGAGCAGCCTCTACAAACAATCTCCTCTGACATATCTGGGGAGTGCTCAAACTTATTATATAGCACATAATTCATTGTTTGGTTTTTTAATAAGAAATTTAAGCTAAGAAAGGAAAAAATGCTCATGGTTGTGTTTCTATCAGCCTGCTGTGACCCGCTGTGCTATTACTGCTGCCTGGCACTCTTAATTCCGAGTTCTTTACAATAATTGTTGGTTGCCTTTGCTTCTTTTGATAGAGGTGTAGCAAATTGACAATATATCTTCAAATGATTAGATTCCTAGTTAACACTCTTGGGTTTGGTTAGGCGCTCTTCTGCCAGGCGTTCAGGGTCTGCCCTGTTACTCAACTCTCCGCACTTGACTGCACCACACGAGAGGTAATTGTATATAATGAGTCGTGGCAAACTTTCTATATGAGATAAAAAATGTGGGATTTGTTGCATTAGCATTGTAAATAGATTGTCTACAAACAGTTAAATATGAATATCACGAGAGAATAATTATCATTTCTATACGTAAGTCCGAGTAGAACACAATTTTTTTTTATTCTTAATGAAAATGTTTACACAGTAAATCACTTTATACCTTCATTATTCCATCATGAAGTGTACTGTACATATTTAGGAAAAAATAGTTATAGAAGAAAAGTTTTGAAAAAATTTATATTTCTCTAGGGAAAGGCATTAGGAGGCACCACAGTATCAACACGAGGTGCAATCTCGTTGCATGTTTTATGTTTTCCCACCCCTCCACCCTTGTCAGCAACACGAGGCATGGTTCAAAACTCTCACAACACTGTATGAATAATTGAAATCACTGTTATGCACAAGAAATCAGAATCCACAAGAAAATGCATGGGAAATGTGGGTCAACGTTATATCCTGGGTCCTTTATACACAAAGGGAGACTGGTGTTGTGACTTTGGAGTACAGTCTATATTGTTTCCAGATTGCGCTGATGTTGCCAAATGTGCGTCTTGTGTGTCTAGTGCTTGTACGCAAACATGAAGTTATTTAATTTTAATATTTTACTTTATACACGAATTTGCAAATGGAAACCCTAAGGCAATAGTTTAGATCATACCCCAGGAGTGTTAACAGTTACAAAAAGAGAAAGAAAATAGCCAAGAAAATATTATAAGAATAAAATTACAGTAAGTTACATCTTGGCCAACAGGCTATAGCTTGTCTCACCTGGCACATTGCATCAGTTGAGAGTGCAATGCACGCCCATGCTCATGTCATGTACACAGTACAACAAAAAGGATGTCACATAGTTTGTTCTGACTTCAACAAAAAAATCTTCAATACTTGTGGGTTTATATGTACAGATTATAAGACTAATTTTTACTTGCTTTGTTATGTTAATTAGAAATGAGTGATTGCAAAGAAAATATTCACGGCTGCATCTCTAATGGCCTATTTCGATCATCTGGTTTATAACTGCTCGACACCATTACTTCCTATTTTCTCAACAATTGTAGTTTGCCTTTGTTTCTCTTGATAAAGGATTGAAAGTTCGATGTATGCCCAACCTCCTCTACCTAGCATTACAGCAAGGATATCACACAATACTGTACTGTCTTTACATAATACTTTTACTTATGTTAATAAAAGCTTGTGAACTTACTGATATTTCTGTGTACATATGTGGTATTACTGTACAGTATATATGTTTGTTTGCACCAGCTAAAATACTGCACTGTTTCTCTTTTGGTACTTGTTGAATATTTTTCCTATGGAGTTCGACAAAAATGCTCCCCCATGAATGCACCCCTATTTTTAATATTAAGTCTTTTGGGAAGTATACACTGATTTACCTTTTGCCTTCATCATGTTTTCTGGGGACAATCTACAGCATAAATAGAGGATTTACTGTACAGTTCTGAAAGGCCCACTTTAAAGTTACCAAACCTTAACATTAGAAAAATTAGGTGATTAGAAGTGGGTCCTGTTAGGATTATGTCCCAGTCCTATTGGTTGGGTTAGATTAGGACGCAGAAATACATCGGCTTAAGTTTGGATAGACTTCATAAATAAACTATTTGCTTGTCTCTTGTAAGTACTGTATTTATGTCAGTAATAATGAAGATTGGTGTTGCAGTCAGTTACCATCATGTGTGGTTGTGATATGTACTTTTATAAAACAGCCAAAACTCACTAACCAAACTCAGTCTAACCAAGCTAATCTAACTTAACTAAGATCATTTGGTTAGTTTAAATACAGTACAGTATTAAAATTGAAATTTTAAAATCCACAATATGACAGATGTTAATAAGTACTGTACTGGTAAAACAATTTTTTTTTTACTGTGTTCTTGAAAAAGTTTTATTATATGTGAAGGGTTAAAATTGACTGTGTTACTAATGTTCATAACCACCGTTATATATTGTTTCCTTGTTATTCATAAAGTCTGTGTAGCTGTTGATAAGATTATTGAAGGGAGCTGCAACCAACCATAGATATTTCTTAACTTGGTTCATTGAGATAATCAGCTTTTTAATTCAGTAAAGTTTTGGTCTTCTTGGTTCAGTTAGGTTATGTGTGAGAGGCCATCTGGTACATTAATTGTAGTCGTTATTACAGTACTGTATTGGGCAGTAGTCAGAAATATGTACTCTAGAGAAATGTAGTGAAGAGCATGAGTTTAAAGCCTGTTTAATGTCGGGCTTCTCATCGCTAATTTTATTTATTTATTTATTTTATTTTATTTTATTTATTTATTTATTTATTTTTTGCATGTGATCCCTTATTTTTCATGGGTACAACAGCTGCATGAATGAAAAGAATAAGTGAGAGAATGAATATGCTTGTCTTTGTAGATGACTTGACGTACTGTGAGAGTGAAGGATTATAAAGCAGTTTAGTAACAAGGAAGTTGTGTTTACTTTGTCCAGAGTTACTGAACTTTGGTCAAGTCTATGTATGAGTGTTTAGTGAGGCTTCATGCATTTAATCAACCTAGTGGCAATTGGAGTGATATTTAAAACAATTCAAACATACTGTATACATTTTTATTCTCACAAAGAAAAAGATTGAAAAACTATCATCATTGATAAGTAAATATTGAAATAGAAGAACTATATTAATCTTTTATTTCACTTGGTCTTCAATCTGTGTTCTCTTTATTCACTAAACTTTGAGGTAAAAGCATCTTGAATGGAATTTACAGCACAATGATTAATGTGTATTAGTAGAAATAATAGTGATCACAACACTTGCCAAATAATTTTATACCTGTACCATGATTCATCTATCTTAGGCAAATACCGTATATGTCTTTTATTACCTTTAAATGAAACGATAAAGGATTGACAATATTTGATAGTGCTCAGCTGACCCATGGCCATTTGATGGCCCAAGAACCCTAGCCAGTATGCAATGACAGCCAGGTACCCTTGCTGGTTGAGTGCCCGAGTCTGTGGGATCTTGGGAGGTAACGTCTTTCTGGGACCTCTGAGATGGAATGGCAACTACCTGTACCGCCTTTCCTTGCTGCTCAGCATTTTTTTTTTCGTCGGAATTTTTAAGTTTACCAATGAGTTTGGCCTCCTCTAGTGTATATAACAATGTTTTTTTTTTTCATAACTATACAGTAGCTACATGTATGAGTAATTGGGTTTAGTATTTTATCTATAGATTTATGGTTCATCATTTGTAGATAGCTAATTCTTTCCAAGTGAATATGGGGACTTATAATATTACTATGCCAGATATATTATGTCCCTGACTAATAAATAATAATAAACATAAGATACCTGCAGGAAGAGTTAAGGTGTTTAAAAAAGATTGAGAGATAAAGAAAAATGTTTTATCCATAATTTTCATTTCTTTGTTGTGAGACTTAAAGAGTAGTGACCTGTGCCAGTAAGTTTGAGCCAGTGATTATCGTAAGGCTAACATCACATACATGAATCAAGTGCCATTTACCGTTATTAAGAAACATTAACATGTGAAATGGATGAAGGGGTTTCTTAAATAAAAAAAATAGAAAAAGGATTTATAATTATGATAGAAAAATAGATACAGTGCGGTTCTGCTGAGTGAGTAACTTATGAACGAGAATATATTGAACAAGTTCATTGTTTTAGAGTACAGTACAGTATGTAAATTCAGTGAACAAACTTCTATTTAATATAACACATAAACTTACGAGTGAACCCGCTCATATTATCATTTATGGAGAAGGCTAGTCATGCTTTGGTATTAGTTGAGCAGCCAGTCAGATTAGTACATATGTAGACTCTTTTTCAATAATCTAGCTGACCCAGCCTGCCTAGCCAGGGAGCCTAGATTACTTGGTGGCATTTGTTTATCATCATATTCAATCAACAATGCTATGCCATGACAAGCAGCTCTGGTAAGTATAGTAAAATGGTTAATCTTGTTAGGTTAGTTTTTAGAGGAAAAATTCTTTGGGCTGAAGCACATCTCAGCTTTATCCCAGCATCGTATGGGAAAATGGGTTACATTGAAGGAGAATTCACGTAAAGAGTACTTTTTCAAGAAAATATATTGCTCATTAAGGGGAATTTACTGTATATGATTGTGTTTTGAGAATATTGTACAGTACAGTAGGACTATGTTCAGTATGGCTGTAGACAAAGGACATAGACCATGTGAAGAAAATCTAGACTTGTTCAAGATCAACTTGTCCCAGATATAAAAAAAACTATAATTATGTTCATGTGACTTTTATGAGTCACAATACCTGAATATCCAATTGTACAGTACCACATTGCTTTTCTGCATATGCGAAGATAAGGGATGCTTCTGTGTCCCAGGAAGAGACTCATTTGTAAGTTTTAAAATTTCATAAAACAACTTGTGTTTCAGACAATCCCTTTCCTTATTTGATTAAACTGTGTTGTTTTTTCTCTATGTTTATATAATTTTACAGTATGGTCCTGGGGGAGAATTATATTGCCCAATCTGTGGTAGAGCGAGCAGTCGACGGGACAACCTAGAGCGCCACATTCGAAGTCACCTGGGAGACAAACCCTTCAAGTGCCCCTACTGTTCATTCCGCTCCCAACTCAAGTGGAATATGAAATCTCACATTGAACGGAGACATCCACAATCCTGTATGATTCAACCACAATGACGTCCTTTAAATCGAAAAATGCAACAAATTCCACTTAATATTTTTCAAAGCTCACCATACTTCTAATTTTTAGAGATTATGAGCAGCACACACAACCTTCTTGCGGTGATTTATTATCTGAATAATACTGTAAAGGCAAGTTATATATTTTAAGCCTCCCAATAATTTTGTACAAAATTCAAATTGCTATAAGTTAATATTGTACAATACTGTACATATTAAAAAATTTTGTATTTGTTTGCACTTGTTATTGTGTTTGTCTTGTCATTATTCAAATTACATTTTAATAAGATAAATTAAATATACTGTACAGTAGTTTCCAGGAGAATATTTGTTCTCAAGACTTTTTTTATTGTTTGAAATAACTTAGTAAATCTATATTATTGAGATTTAAACACAAGGTTATCCTGTATTTTTCTGAACATTGCTCATGATGATATTTCTGTGGTTATTTCTTGTAGTATACTGTATTTGATACACTGGTTACCAGAAGCTCAAACTGAATGCACTTTTCAAATGTTTCACAAGTCCTTTACTCTGGTCAAATGTTCATGTATACATTTTCACTCAATTTTCAGGGAGACATAAATTTGTCGTACTTATGAAGAAAGATATTTGTGGCTGCTTTAAACAACATTCCCAGGTGAAATATTTTTATTTTGCAGTACAGTTGGTTCTTATATATTGAGCCACATAATCTTGTGTGTCTTTTGGCAATCCTTGACAATCTAAATATGAGGGAAGAAACTCCATAAGTACTGTAACACATATACTGTATACCTTTGATATAGAAAAGTACTTGTACATTCTGATAATATTGTATACAATGCTTCCTGCTAAATGAAGTGACATCCCCCTGGGTAAGAGTTATAGAAGTTAGGGCCCAAATTGATGTTTGACCATCTTAAGGATTTCACGTCCTCGCTTCTTTTCTTGGCTGAAGCACATTCATCTCATGACTTACTCACATTCTTCCCTTGGCCTAGACCAGATCTCCTTATACTGTAGATAACAAATTGATTCCTCATGTTTAAGAGAAAATATTCCTGCGACATGATGAAATCTTCCATTAATCATATTACAGTACAGTACAGTACAGGGGGTCCCCAGGTTAAGAGGAGACTTACTGTACTATGAACCAGTTGTACCTATGTCAGATTTTTTAAATAATTGACCTTATGGGACCTTGTTCGTATTGGCGGGTGTTCGTAAGTCAGACGTTCGTAACTCTGGAACCCCCTGTACTGTGTATTTTTTAGCGACAAATTTCTCCTATAACTAAAATAAGCCCAATCTCATTATATGTTGTACTAATAAAGTACAGTACAGTATACTGTACCTAAGTATCTTACGGAGTCACTTATCTCAAAGTCTCAGTTGTTAAAACTCAACATATAGGACTCTTATGGAAGAATTTATTTAACACAGAAATATAATATTTTCACTTAGATAAGATAAGATGAAAATAAAGGAGTACTGGATAGGTTGATTGGCAGCATCAGTGTTTATGTCAGGTAAAGTAGATGAAAGTTAGGCATACTTTAATTTTGGCCAACTTAGGTAATGTTGATAGATAATAAGTATTTATTTTCTTACTTGTAGGAACTAGTAAGTCTTAGGATGTAATTATGTAAGCAGGCAGACAAAGTCTTAAAAGCTGAAGAATTGTAGAGGGTTTTAGACTCTAAAAAGCTTACAAAGATTTTAGAGTATAAAAACAACATAATGTCAGATGCTAAAGTGTAAAGTATAGTTACTGGTTTTTAAGCTCTTCTGTTATGTAACAACAAGTTGAAGAGTAGCACAGGCACAATCAAATGGAAGAACAAGCTTTGAAAAATAAAAGTTTTTCAAAATCTATCACTTCTAAAAAAATATCTTTCAACGGCAAATAATACTTACAAATAAGAAATTGCTCTGCATTGTACTTATGGAACAATAAAGTAGCATTTGTTCCTTTATGTGATATATTTTGAAAATAAACTTAGGACCATGCAGTGGTTCTACAGTTAGTAGGCTTGTTTTTTGCTAGCAACGTGTGCCATTGCTCAAAACTTTGTGGCCATTAGAGGACCTTTTTTGGTTAGGATACAATACTGTATACAGTACATACTTCACTTCAACGATTTTAATGTTAATGATGCATCACAATAACGATAGTAATGAAAGGCGACACCTCAACACATTAACAATACATTTCAACACAATAATGATCAGTAGCACAAGTTGATAGTCACTCTGGGCGGCAATCTTGATGACGTCAGTGAGCAGGGTGGTTTGCTTTGATCAGAGCGTGTGAACAGGAGGTGTGGTGTAACTTACTCACTTATCTGTGTCCTGCTGCTGCTGCTCCTGATGATAATGTTCAATATTTACCTGTGTGTGATCTGTTAGATGATTTACCACTAGACTTCACTGGCTTTGAGACTGAAGGATCAGTTGGTGGTGGTGCTGAGGAAGCAGTGCAGTATGAGAGTGTGGGGGGCAGGGCAGGGGGGCACTAACACCACTTCCCTGCCTTGGATGACAGCAAACAGTTTCATTAAGCAGTTTAGTGAGTGTCCAAAGGTTAGATATTAACTCTACATACAGTATTAATGTGTGTAAATAAGTGGTTGTAATTTTTGTGGGGGTTATAGGGGGTATAAGAGTCTGAGGGCTGATACAAATTGACCCATTTAGCATGTAAACTATACTCACCACATTAACGATTTTTACCTTAACGACCGTTTTCCTGGTACCAATTAGTCGTTAAAGTGAAGTATGGACTGTAAAGCAATTTGCAGGATTCTCCAAGTCTAACATAGTTCAGTACTGTAATACAGTACTACATAATTTTTATGGGCATGAAAATGTGATACTGATTCAATATCGAATAAATTTTCAGTAGTGTGACCCACCAGAGGTGCTGATGTTATGGCCTCTTCAGGTACCTCAGACCCTGCTTGTTTCTCATACTTGACATAAGTCTTAGTTCAGTATCTCCTAGATAGAAGATGAACAAACTAGGTATACTGTAGTACAATGGGAATCATTGTTAAATGTTATTGTTGGCAGTTATTACATTAATGATTTTCACAGGCAGCTGTACAAGGCTTTAAAAGTTATTTATCAGTTGTGTGAGCCAACACTCCGTCAATGATGTATTAAGGCACTGGCCTTCAGATTCTTGTATTGTAATACTGTATGTATTATGCATTATTAGTGTGTTTGTCCAGACCATAGCTATTTTAGAATTTATAATAACCAGATTAACCAGAATTTGTTAAGATACTCCTTTCTTTAGGGTTATTGGTGCATAGCTCTTGTCTGACAAAATCCAAGCTTATTTATACCAGTGCTGCACATCTTCTGCAGGTTTTGCAGAGATTAACCCATTGTGTTGTAACAATTGGTGTTTGGACAATTAGTGGAGCAGATAGACAAATTGATGTGAAATTACTCTCATGGGGGATACATTAGTTCCAATTCATGAAGGATATATATGTTAGGATTCATGAGAGCTACATAAGTTAGGATTCATGAGAGATACATAAGTTAGGATTCATGAAAGATACATAAGTTACAGTTTATAAGAGATACACAAATTAGGGTTCATGAGAGATACATAAGTTAGGATTCATGAGAGATAAGAAGCTAGTATGTTGAGGCAGCTGGTGCTAAGGTGAATCATGAAATGTATCAGCATAAACTAATAGTAATAATGGTAGCGTGTTTGTCATAGTAGAAGAGTAACTCCCATTTATCAGCACCTGTTTAGCTGTGAACACAATGAGTAATTCTCTAAGATTACAGTATGTTTGCTCTCACAGTATTGTAGTAGAAGTAATATTATTTATGAATTGGCACATATTTTATTTATTATTATTATTATTTTTTTTTTTTTTACCCTGAACCAATATGCTCACCAAGACTGTTAGGCACATGTCTTTTGTTATGTGCCAATACTGAACTGTATTGCTCTCTTCCTCTCTGCTGCTTTTACTGAAATATGGTGTGTACCAAATTCGTGTTGTGACTTGTTCTACAATTGAATATGATTCTCATGGAAAATAGATTATTCAATGCATGGAATTTATTTTAGAAAACAAGGAACACGATGTATGTTATGATTTTGGCAAAGTGCTTGAAAACTGTGGATGAGAAATTGCCATTAACAGGGGCGTACCCAGGATTCTGGGGGACTTTTTGAGGCCATATGCAACGGCTATTAGGTTATTTGAAAAGATAATCAAGGGGTAATTTAGAGTGAGAGTAAATATTCAATGTCATAAAAGACACTTGAAAAGGAAAAAGTACAAGGTGAGTTCAACATATAAATCATGTTTTATTTTAGAAACTTATTTATATGCTATCACTACCACATTTCGAGTTCATTAACATTTTATTTTGTATTGTTTAAGCAATCACTTCATTGCATAGTTTCAAAAATATTTAACAATATCATGTCACACTTCATGTAACACAAATTTTTATTAAATTTCAACCCCAACCTTCCTATTGATAACTCAATTAATGACTAAAGATAGCACTTGCGAGCAATAATTAGGGATGTGCATAGACAACATATGAAGATAATGTAAACTGAAACGTTGATATACCGGGTAGTTCATCGTACCGGGTATTCGTATATTTTGTGTTTCCCCGACTATTTCTACATCCTATAAATGTCACGAATATCCATTATTTGAAATACTTTGTTTAACATCTAATATTCAACACAGTACAGTAAAAATGATGATTAATAATAAGTTGTCAGCAATAATTAGGGATTCCCAAATTATTGCTAACAACTTATTATTAAATTATTAAACCTCATTTAATGTGTTTAATATTAAGAATATTAGATTTTAAATTTGTATTACAAAAATGTACATTCGTGACATTTATATGATGTAGAGATATAAGCAGGACTAGAGTTTTGGGATTCTAAATGTTTCTCAATATTCAACACAGTAATTGATGATTTAGGGAAGCAAAAAAAAAATATAAATAGTCGGTACGGTGAACTATATCATACATCATTTATGAAAATTATTTCCATTCCTGTCTGACTTACGCATAATTAATAGATATTTGTACTTATGTCGTGGGCATTTCGATGCAGAAGTGACATTTACATCGTCACACTGTAGCTTACGTTTCACTGGGATGCTAGCAGTTGTACTGGATTCAGTGTTGGTGGATGATGTTGTACCCAGAGTCTCCTTGGCGATGTCTCTGGTAGGGCTTGGTGGCTTTGACTGTACGCCAGTTGGGCTCATAAAATTGCGAATTTCATCGTAGTTTAGAAACAACGCAAACACACTATACACGCACGGGAATAACACGATGATGTAAGAGTGCACATGTGTTGTTCACAGCTGAAACAGGGACTCGTGACTGACTCCTGGGTCAGAACTTGGTCAATTATGTGAAGATGCCAGTGGTCCTGAGGGTCATGTCAGGTCATAAGCTGAGCTTATGACCTGACATGACCCAAAATTCCACACACAAATATGTCTTATAATCAAGCTACTTGTGTCACTTGTGTTTGACCGTATTAAGATTAAATATGACAGGTAAGGGAGGGAGATGACGGCAGATCAAAGACACTTCAGACGAGCAGCATGGGCTTCGAGGGGGGTTTCGGGGCAATCGGGAAACCCCCCTGGATACACCCCTGATTAATGGACTGTGATTTGAAAGGGTTCTGGTAGCTAATTGATGAGCACTATACTGTAAATGTTAGTTATAGTACTTGGGTTTATTTATTTTTTTAATGTGGTTTGCATGTACAGTACAGGTAATTCTGTAGCTCCAAATTTTAGATATACAGTTAGGTCAAAACTGATAACTTCTGGTCAGGCCAGAACTGTAAACATCCAGTCAGGCCAGGACTGTCAACATCAGTTCCTGTTAGGTCAGAGGTGAAAACTAACCTGACCTGGAGTTGATAGTAATTACCTCTACTGTATCATTGATAAATAAAGTTTCTTGTGAAGGATCCACCAGTACATGTACAGTATACCGTGTTTCTCTGTAAAAGAAATGAGATTATGTACAAAATTTTATTAAGATCTAAATAATGCTGTACTTAAGTAAATGAGTAAGTAAGAAGACCATGTATGATTAAAGCCAGATACTTAGCTTTCATGTACAGGTAGTTCTGCTATAACGCGATAATTGTGTTCTTGTAAAATATCGTGTTATAGAAAATCGCGTAATAGAAATAACAGGGCTTATGGAGAAAATAGGGTTTGGTGCAGATTACTCGAAATCGAAAAAATTTAGTAGTTAGCCTAACACAAAGGATAGCACAGTCTAAATAAATGTTACATTCATATCTAATAATGAAATCATACAGTAAATGTAACACTTTACTTGATGGGGGAGAAGGGTGATTTTGAGGTTGATAAAATCGAGCTTCTCTTCAAGTGTTATATCCTTTCTTTTACGATCATCACCGGGAATTCTATCACCAGAACGCTTCTTGTTGATATTCTTCTTTACTATATTCACAGTTAATACAGTACCACAAAATTGGAGAAATAGCAAGCAAAAATCGCATTATAGCAAACGAGCGTTCGCGTTATACAAATATCGTTCCTAATTCATAAATCGCCTTAGAGCAAATTCGCGTTATCAAAACACGCGTTATACAGGTTGTACCTCTCTAGTCCGGCAACCTCGGGACCTGACCAGTGCCAGACCATGGAAATTGCCGGACCATGAAAATTCACCCTTTTCCTGGATAGATAGTGACTTGTGCTTATGCCTGGAAGCACTAGCACCACTTTCTCTGCGTCATGGTCTCTTTGAAGACATATTGAAGGGTTAAATGTCGTATAGTAGCTTCTCAAATTTCGCGAGTTTTTAATTCTTAACGTATTTTATTGGAACACAAAAAAATAAATAAATAAAAATTTTGACGGCGGAAACTTGAATTTCGACGGGTTTGAACAGCCCGCCAACGTGCAGACGACGTGCATAATCGTGTAAACAGCGTCATTTCTCTTATGTACAAAAGATTCATTATTGTTTATTACTGAATGTCTTTTTTATTGAATTAATGTTTATGTGTGCAAAATGAGCAATACAATTCATTAATAATACGTAGAATATTAAAACACACGAGGAAATGACACAGCATTGTTTTCGTTGATTACAAAACCAGTGACTGACTGGTTCTACATATAAAACTGAAGAAAATAAGACCTTGGGTGTAGCTGTAGTAAAATTAATATGGTTGTTTTAAGTAATGTTAATTAATGTTAATAAATGGAACAATAGAAGTAGCTAACGATAATGGTAAAGAAAAAGAGAGATCGCATATGTAAGTGCGCATGCGCACACGTGAAAACATATCATCATTACTTTACATAAGAATATGAAAGCAACACTTATTTACTGTTCATATACATTTTAATAAATGTTTCTGAATTTGTTTTTATTGAATTAATGTACGTGTGTGCAAAATTAACAATACAATTTATTAATAATACGTGGAATATTAGAGGGGACGAGACGGCTGCCGGCATTGTTTATGTTAAAGCTTACGAAACCAGTGACTGATTGGTTCTACATATAAAACTGAAGAAAATAAGACCCTGAGTTTAGCTGTAGTAAAATTAATGTAAAATATGAATATGGTTGCTTGAAGTACCTGTAATGTTATTTAATGTTAATAAATGGAACAATATAAGTAGCTAACTATTAATGGTAAAAAAAAAAGTGAGACTGCTTGTATGTACAATAAGTGTGCACATGTGAAAATATATCGTCATTACTCTACATAAGAATATGAAAGCAACACTTATTTACTGCTCATATATATTGAAGGGTTAAATGTTGTACTCTGTATAGACAAGCAGAGAGAGAGAGAGAGCAGCCGAACTGCCGGATGTAAACAAACCTTAATTTCCCGCGGCTTTTTTTTTTTTAAGGGGATTAGCCCACCCGGGCATAGGTCACTGACCCACATTGGGGCCTGAGGGGCAAAAATTTAATACTCCTGTAATAATAATAATAATAATTCAGATAAGTAAAAAAAAAAAACTGCCTTTCTACCTATTGGACAAACTAAAATCTTTCCGGACCACAGAATGCCGGACTAGAGAGGTACAACCTGTAGCAGAACTCGCTGTATAAAATGAATTTCTGTAAATTTTATTTGTTAAAAAAATCTTAGTAACTGTAAAATATTGCTGTTTATTGCAGTTTAATTTCAGGAAGTGCAGCAAAGGCAGGCACAGCTTCAGTCGCCCATGTAAGAACATCTCTAAGAATGGATATGGACCACATACGGTTCTTCCTGTAATCAGGGCCACAGCTTTACAACAGTGATTCTTTACTACACTGTTCACCCCAAACTTGCAACTGGGCCAAAATGAAGGAAACTTATGATTGGTGGAGTCATGTTGGATGAATATACAAGGCAGTGGTGAAGTAACAGCAAACACTGCTGATTGGTTTTAACTTTTACTTTTTCACTGTAAGGCATCTACATTATCAATCTGCCTCACATGGTAAATTTTCAGGGTATCATGCTGAATCAAAACTTAATTATTAATATTACTTGCAGTTGCAGAATATGAAGAAAATTAATTAAATAATGAAGAGTTCTAGATAAACCCAACACACTTCATCCGCCAGCCAGTCAGCTGCATTGGTAAAATCTGCTCAAGGTCCGAGTTGTAAAGCTCATGTTAACGAGGTGCAGAATACAGTAGTTATTTTCAATTTCAATTTCCACATACCACCCCTCCCTCACTCCATCCACATACCACCCTCCTCACTCCCTCCACATACCACCCCTCACTCCCTCCACATACCACCCCTCCCTCCCTCCACATACCACCCCTCCTCCCTCCAAATACCACCTCCCTCCCCCTCCACATACCTTCCCTCCCTCCCTCCACACACCTTCCCTCCTTCCTCCACATACCTTCCCTCCCTCCCTCCCCTCCACATACCAACCCTCCCCCTGCACATAACACCTCCTCCCTCCTGCACATACTACCTCCACATACCAACCCTCCCTCCTTGCACATAACACCTCCTCCCTCCCTGCACATACCACTTCCTCCCCCACATCCACCACCTCCTCCCTCCACATACCACCCCTCTTCCCTCCACATACACCCTCCCCCTCATACTACACCTCCTCCCTCTCCACATACCACCTCTCCCTCCTCCACATACCACCCCTCCTCCACATACCTCTCCTCCCTTCTTCCACATACCTCCTCCTCCCTCCCTCCACATACCACCCCTCCCTCCTGCACATAACACCTCCTCCCTCCCTCCACATACCCACCCTCCTCCTCCACATACCACGTCTCCTCCCCATACCACGCCTCCCTCCACATACCACGCCTCCCTCCCTCCACATACACCACCTCCTCTCTCCACATACCACCCCTCCCTCCACATACCACCCTCCCTCCCCTCCATCCACCACCCCTCCCTCCCCTCCACATACCACCTCCCTCCTTGCACATACCACCTATCCCTCCCTAAACATACCACCCTCCCTCTCTCTCCACATACCACCCTCCCTCCCTCCACATCACCCTCCCTCCCTCCTCAAATACCACCCTCCTCCTGCACACATACCACCTCCTCCCTCCACATACCACCCCTCCCTCCTCCACATACCACTTCTCCCTCCTCCACACATACACCACCCCTCCTCCTCCACATACCCACCTCCCTCCTCCATTTCAACCTCCCTCCTCCACATACCAACTCTCCCTCCTCTCTCTCCACACCCTCCCTCCCCCTCCATACCACCTTCCTCCATCCACATACCACCCCCTCCCTCCCTCCACATACCACCCTGCCTCCACCACATACCACCTCTCCTCCCTCCACTCACACCTCTCCTCCTCCACATACCACCCCTCCTGCCCTCCACATACCACCCTCCTCCCCACATACCACCCCTCCTCCCTCCACATACCACCCCTCCTCCCTCCACATACCACTCCTCCTCCCCAACATACCACCCCTCCTCCCTAAACATACCACCCTGCTCCTTCCACATACCACCCCTCCTCTCTCCACATACCACCTCCTCCCCAAACATACCACCCTCCCTCTCCACATACCACCCTCCCTCCATCCACATACCACCCCTCCTCCTGGCACATACTATCTCCTCCTCCCATATATACCACCTCCCCTCCACATACCACCCCTCCCTCCACATACCACCCTCCTCCCCCCCCTCCACACATACCACCCCTCCTCCCTAAACATACCACCCTCCCTCTCCCTCACATACCAACCCTCGTTCCCTCCACATACCACCCCTCCCTCCCTCCACATACCACCCTCCCTCCTCCACATACCACCCCCTCCCTCCCTCCATATACCACTCCTCCCTCCCTAAACATACCACCCCTCCCTTCCCTCCACATACCACGCCTCCCTCCTTGCATATACTACCTCTCCCTCCCCTCCACATACCACCAATCCCTCCCTCCCTCCAACTTTCTCACTCTCCTCCCTCCACATACCACCCTCCCTCCCTCCACATACCTCACCCCTCCCTCCTCCTACGAACCCTCCCTCCTCCACATACCACCCCTCCCTCCCTCCACATACCACCCCTCCCTCCCTCCACATACCACCCTCCCTCCCTCCACATACCACCTCTCCCTCCCTCCATATAACACGTCTCCTCCTCCACATACCACGCCCCCTCCCTCCACATACCACCTCCCCTCCCTCCACATACTACTCTCTCCTCCCTCCCACATACCACCCCCTCCTCCTCCCTCCAGTATACCACCCTTCCTCCCTCCTCCACATACCACCCCTCCCTCCCTCCACATACCACTCCTCCCTCCCTCCACATACTACCTTCCTCCTCCCACATACCTCACCTCTCCTCCCACATACCACCCTCTCCCTCCCTGCACACATACCACCCCTCCTCCCTCCTTGCACACATAGCCTACCCTCCTCCCTCCACATACCACCCCTCCCTCCACATACCACCCCTCCCTCCCTCCACATACCACCCTCCCTCCCTCCACATACCCACACCTCTCCTCCCTCCACATACCACCCCTCCCTCCTTGCACATACTACCTCCCTCCCTAAACATACCA